ACGCTCGAGCTGCGTTCAATTCAAAATTTCCGTATTCTAGTTAGGAAGGCCCCGACCATCTTTTGATCAGCAGTAATAAGGGGACTTGGGCAACCTCAACCCGCTAAACTAGGAACCCATCAGTCATATGATAGTTTTCGGGTCACAACTTCTGGGGTGGGGGGTTACCAAAATCCTTTCATTACCTAGCATAAGCTCTCTATATAACTTGTGTAAAAGCTAAGTTTCCATTGCATCTTTCAGTTCTTTTTCGCTTGATTCTCTATCTTATTGTTCATGTCCCTAATATATATATATATAGCCACTGAATAATCCTCATAGAATTGCTCTTTGTCATTTTCCATATTCTTTTCCATGTGATTCCCCATTCATAGGTTATTTCTCCGATAGGCCCCTCTTACTATCCCTACACAATTCCTATACTATCATCATGGGGAAAAATATTTTCCCCAACTGTTAAAAGTTAAGCATCTCCCCTGCTCAGGCCCAGGAGCATTGCAACCCTAAGCCTCTAAACCCTCACACCCTTAACCCTAAAATCCTAAACCCTAAACCCTAAACCCTAAACCCTGAACCCTAAACCCTGAACCCTAAAACCTCAGGCCCAGGAGCATTACCGACATCAGGCTGCTTGTCTCGGGGCCTGGGGCCTGAAACCCTCCACGGATGGCCCTTTCCGGGAAGGGGAGAAGGCCATGAAGGGGGATGGGTTAAGGATTTTATGTAAGGTGTTTAGGTGTTTGAGGGTTTAGGGCAGAGAATGGAGAATTAAATGAACAAGAAACTGGAAGAGGAATGGAAACTGGGCTGATACTTAGTTGGTTACACTTGGAGGGTCAGGGTGGCTTAGTAAGTAGCTCAGGAACCCTGGAATCCCTGGAATAACCCCAGTTGTCCAAGTATTAAACCATTTACTACGTCCCAATGACCCTCCAACTAGGAATAGACCCTAACCCTAAAACCATAAATATTATGTTTCCAGATTTCTTGTGTCATTTTGGTATGGGGTACCTCACCCCTAAACCCTAAACCCTAAACCCTAAACCGTAAACCCTAAATCCTAAACCCTAAACCCTAGCCCCCAGATGATTCTTGGTAATCATTGAGGACCCCATGATATGGTTTAGGGTTTTAGGGTTTAGGGTTTTAGGGTTTAGGGTTCAGGGTTTAGGATGTTTTCGGGGTACATGGATTGGGGTTTTGGGCTCAGGGTTGATCCTAAACCTTGAAAGCGAAACCCTAAATCTCGGCCTTTTGGTTCCGGTCTGATGTGTGTGGGTTGAAGTGGGGTCGAGCCTGTTTTGTTTGGATCCAAGGGAATATGCAAAGCTTAGATTACACGACTTCTCCCTTTCTTCTGTCAATAAACCCTAAACCCGAAACCCCCTATAGTCCTGCACCTCCGGAATCATGAGTATTCCCAATGCCAGGAAAATCTAATTTAGGGAGTGGGGTGGCTGAGTTTCCATTTTCTTTTTCATTATTACGGATGCTGGGGTTATGCTTCAATGTTTGGGTCGACTCCTCAGCCTTGCTTGCTGGGTCAGGGGTTGTTAGTAAGTAATCTCCTCTTACTATAGCCCCCCTTAAGTAGATAGAACATGGGGTATATGGGGATCTTATTCTAATATACCCAAAGCCATATTGTATCTAGTGAAGGGGGGCTATAATGTTAAACACACCCCATATTAATTACTCCCTGCAAGAGCCCTTGTACATTGGGTATATACATATATATATATATCTATTTCTGGGTGTGTAATAGTAGTATGAGGGGATTATTTTGGTAAACCCTTTTGGCCAGATGATAGCACCAGTTCCGTTCAATGTTGACCTATTGACTAGTCCGTTGACCCTCCAAGTAATAATATGCCCATAGAACCTGTAACCCAGTTTCCATTTCATTTGCCATGTTCTTTTGCATTTCATTATTCATTATTCCAAATTTTCTAAGTAAAGCCTAAACCAAGATCCTGTCGATTCCACATGCAGAGGGCAACTTCAATTTTGATCAGGGTCTAGGGTTTGGGGGCGTAGGGTTTACGAGACGTATTTGGGGTTCCCAATCGAGATGCCTTGAAGCAGATCTCAACTGTGACGCTGTGGGAGAATTTAAGCAGACAGGGAGCCACAATCTGGACCCCAATATACATAGTGTAATCCTGATGTTCGGGGCTCCGGAAATGGACCCGCAGAGTTTGGAAACCCTGATCCCTTACAAGCCAGCTTCCATTTCATGTTCAATTTCCTTTTCTATTCGCTTCTCCAGTATTACCCCACAACTGTATTTCACCCTATGTAACCCATATAAGCCTGTATAATCTTATAGAACACGCTATAATTCTATACAACCCTGTACAACCCTATATAACTCATAACCCTATATGACCTTATATAACCCTATATAACCCTATATAACTTTTTACAACCCCATATAACCTTCTATAACCCTTTATAACCTTATAAAACCGCTCATGCATGCCTTCAGGTCTGGTATGTCAGCATCTCTGTTCATCCTCAACTGAGACGGTGTGTGGTCCGCCACGTACCTCCGAAACCTCGTGATAGCGACGACGAGTTTGCGTATGATAACATCTACCTCACCTACCTGCTGGAGTCTGAAAGCTGTGATTACCGTGGAACTGTCCCAACCCAGATTGAGGCAGATCCACATTGTATTTTCAAAGCACGGCCGACTATTCGCTCGGTGCTGCCACTGTTTCAAGATCTTCTACTCAGTTGCCGCGCACAGGCCAGCGGCAATGACCGTCAGCCTTCGCCCTGTTCACGGCGTTGCTAGCCTCGCGTTGGCACAAAAAGGGACTCTTAGATGGACGGATGGCGATCTAATTCAAATGCTGGCTTTCAAGTACATGCGTATGGTGATGGCATTTTTTTTCGTAGGGAGGCTTTCAGATGTTGCAGTTCAGC